GGTTACTTTCACTCCTTTTACATTTAGGGGTCGGAACTCATCTGAACTCTTACCTGCCAGTTTATACCAAGGAAACCACTTGATTGGTTTAGTTGAATGAAAACCTCCAATGGCAGAGAGACTGTTTGATAAAGATTAATTGTGATTGGTTGGTTCTTGTTTTTCTTTACTGGTGGCTTAGAGTTGGGTTGACGTCCAGCCCAAGTCAATATAATTATTATAACCTGTTGTTGTTTTGGTGCAAAACCAAATGCTTTGTCTAAAGTCTTTGTTCTTTGTATATGCATTCTTTTCAAAAATATTAAACTTATACCTTAATTGCCTTTACCACTTTTCCCCTTGGTTTTTATTTGTGTATTATGAAAAAACCCACTCATCACCGATCAGTCTACATGATTTAAAAAGTTATTTCTGTATATTAGCTTACTTCTAATATTTCAATGGCATCAAGTAACAAGTGATTTTATTTCACCCTCAACACAGGAGACGTTATCCTCTGTCAGCTTGTAACAATACCAAAGGTAGCACATGCAAATACCGTAGGTGGAACTATACTTCAAAGTCTTTAGAATGCTGTGTGTACATATATCTGGTTTTCTCTCAGTAATACGACTGATGTTGATATCAGTTCAGTTCTGAGTGGCAGTTTTCACTATCAATGTTGGAGACACAACAGTTGAATGATGTCATGAAATGTGTGGCCAGTAGGAGGTGCTGTACAACCAAACATCACCAGCTGTGCACGTGTTTAACAGTGAAGCTGATGCTGTGATGCCATTGACACACACCCCTATATATATATATACATGTGTGTGTGTGTGTATATATACTTGTGTGTATATGTGTACGCACACACTGAAGCAAAACAAATGTAGGAAGATGCACAAATAAAATATGTGGAAGAATCTAAATATTAAGTTTGAAAATATTGTTTGAATTGTTGTTATTCAAACATCATCCTGAATTAACAACCCTCAAAACTGTTTGCTGCATGTTTTATACTCTCGGATGGGCGAGAATAAAGAGTATTACTTAAGCTTGACAACTGCTTTTTAGCCTGAATTAGTCAAGAGTGGGGTCCTGGTCCAGACAACTTGTGATCAATAATCACTTTTTTAATTACATGCACTGTTTATAAAGAGGTTTATTCTGTAACATTCTGATAGGTAATGATGATTTTCCACATCAGAACTACTCATGATTTTTTTTTTTGTCACACTTGATCCACCATTCATGAAGCTTAACCAGTTCACTCTGGGACAGGTCACCCACTAATTAACCATGTACACGATCTGGTCTAATTACAGCAGGATGCATTTAACAGAGGTCAGCATGGAGTTTACTGAGTTCACTCAACATCACATTGAGATGAATGATCATGACCAAGTCCAATGCAGTTGTTAGTCTGATGCATTAATGCGTTTCACTGTAATCCCAAATACATGCAAAAGTTTCTTCCTGCTGCAAAAGGAAAACAATTTATTTTGAAATGCTTTTACAAAATTATCAGTGTGAACATGGAGGTTCATTTTGTCATTCAGTCGCATTTGTACGTGAAGACCACGTTTGAAGACTGTTATCGACCTTTTCTTCAGTAGGGGTAAAGAGAACTACACATTTAGTCTTTCACATTCTGTTTTGTTTGAATAGGTGATCTGTTGAGTGGAGTTAATGAAGAGTAGATTGTGGGTCGACTTGAGTTAAGCAGATACTGTATAAGGAGCTGTACTGTATTTGTGAAAATGATAAACTCAACATCCTCAGATAAGTCAACATGAAGTTGTATGTGTAGTGTTGTTTCAATGGAAGCAACAATATTGTTAGTAACAAATGATTTTTTTTCTATCCATCCATCCATAGTGCTTATCTTTTGAGGGGGACAGGGGAACTGGAGCCAATCAGCTGATATTGGACAGGTCGCCAGCACATAGGCCCAACCTACTAGAGACAACATTCACACCTACAAACAATTTAGAGTCTCCAATTAACCAATCAGCATGTCTTTGGACTGGTAGGAAGGCGGAGCGAGAGGAAACACACAAATTGTTGACCAGTATTTAAAAATGTTAAAATCAATACCTGTAAATCTCTGTAATGACATCATCAAAGCCAAAGATCATATTGCCATTTGTGACTTGAGTTTCCTGAACACATGACATGTAACATCAAGGCTCTGCTAGTTTGTCTGGTGGTAATTGATGAAAAAGATCAGAGCACTTTGCTGCTTCTTGAGAGCAATGCTCATCTTTTAGTTTTCATCATATATGTTTGAAGTCTGTATGTGATTTACTGTATGAGTAAGTCGTTGTGTAAAAATACATATCAGAGGCAAAACTATACAGCACTGAAAATAGGTTCCTCCATTAATGTATTATTGTGTGTAGACAGCTTGGATTTGTTGCTCAGCCTCCACTTGTCTCTCAGACCTGCAGTAATGTTGGTGCTGAGAGATCAGTATCTCTTTCACACCTCTTACACACATGTCCAGGAATTCCTCAAACGGCAAATAAATGAGGGTGATATCCCAGTTTTGGTGACCTGGAGCATCTGCCCCCCCCCCACCACCCCCACCCCTCCGCCACCCTCATCCACCCCTGTGAGGCGTTCACACATTCCCTGCGTTTCTCGAGTGCTGTCTGTCAGCGCCTTCTTGTGCTAAAGAGACGCTGACAGCCATTAATTATCACACAGGCTGAACGAAGGGCATTCCTCTCTGCTGAAATATTGGTGTACACACACACACACACACGCCACAGATGCT